CTAATGTTAACTCAGCTTGTTTCTCTGATAACTTAAGATTCAGACGTCCTGTGACTAAAATCCTTCATTCTACAACAACCATGATCTGAAAAGTGGGGGGTAAATCTGGTTTACAAGTACATTTATGACACCATTGACAGGTGACCAGTGTGAAGATTATGGATTTTTCTGGGTTTGAACATTATTGGACACATGTATATGATAATAAGATAATAACATAGTATACAACTCAACAAATTATATAACATAGGTCTAGTTTTTGGGGAAATGTTACGTATTACAGCCTTAAATGAGGAACATTGGGATTTCCAAGCATGCATTACGGCTAACATCATCCTGTATGTAATGCTGTTGAAGTATATTGCAGATGTGGGCAAATACTTAGAGTAGTTGCTTTCCTTCTGGATGTCACTATAAGTCATAAACGAGCTGTAGGCACAGTAACTTCAGTCTGACACGAATGACAGGAGATGTAATCCCGTTTTTAAAACATTTACTGAAAAAAGAATCAGATTATTGTCTGACATTATGGCTCTTAAACTTGTCACTAGCCTAACTTCACTTTTAGAATACCAACAGAATTTCTCATAGTTGCTTGTAGGCATCAATCGTTTCCCATGTGAGCTGAATATCTTAACATTACCCTGACAAGTTGGTGTAGAAAGGACAGACTCTGAATCATAATTATGTGTGATTCAAAAGCTGCAAACAAGCTGAGTGCCCTGACATTTACTTGTCCCCTGGGTGACAGTATGGGAGCTGGATCTTGTGGAGGATGATTGGGCAGCTGACCTAAAATCTGAATCTGAGAATTACTTCTTTTACTGAGTCTCTCTTGTCTGCTTCCTCCTCCAACTCCCAACAGTTTCTTGGCCTATTTCTGTCTCTGTCCACTGAGTAGCCAGGCCTGAGTACTGCAGATAGATAAAAATGTTGTACTTTTTTATTTAATATGTTGATGTGGTTGTGTGTGTATTTGTGTGTGCATGTCGTGTACAGTGCTGCGTGGTTGTCTTCATGTGGAGACATCTGTTGCTTTAATGTAATTACAGCCTGCCCCCTCCTCTCCCCTACCACCAGAAACAAATCACATACACACATATACACACTCCCCTCCTTCTTCAAGTTATTCTGTATTATGAAGGGTTTAGTTTAGTCTTCTTACTCTTTCTTCTTGTCTCTTTTTGTTTTTCTCACCCTATGGTAAAAGGAGTTTAGGTTCTCTCCTAGGATGCCACTTTATAAATACAAACTTCTGGGCCTTTGTTGTGGCTACAGACTTTGCCATTCCCTTTCCATGTACACACACACACACACA